CCACCCCTTCACCTTTACCACCCACCCCTTCACCTTTACCACCACCACCCCTTCACCTTTACCACTACCCCCTCCTTCAGCTTTACCACCACCCCCTTCATTACCAGATTCGGTGCTAGCCACAGGCTGACCCTTCGAGTGCCCACTGGGAGGTCTGAGTCAGTGGCAGCCTTCGTGGCAGCTGCATTCCCAGGGGCACAGGAGTCGCCTGTGCTTCCAGCTGCAGCCAGGAGGGCGCTGCACCCTAGCACAAGTCTTTGGAGAGCTGGCTGCACTCTGGGCAGAGCATGGCGTGGAGGACTTCTCAGTGAGCCAGGCCACCCTGGAGGAGGTGTCCCAAGCACCTGGGAGGGGCTGGAGGCAATGGTGAGGCTGGGGGCCGTGCCCTCAGGCTGACCTCCCTTCCCGTCCTCTCGGTTTCCCACTGGCTAGGTATTCCTGTACTTCTCTGAGGACCAGGGGAAGGAGGGCAAGGAGGGTCACCAGGAGTCAGGAGTGGGGATGGATCCTGGGTTAGGCCCACAGGTCCCCAAACTCATCACCCAGTTCCTGGATGACCCCAGCATGATGGAGACAGTGCTATGAGCCTCCCTCCTTCTGTGGGGCTGGTGGGAGGCCCTGGGAGTGACAAAGGCAGGACAGAGTGCCTGGAACTGGCTCCCAGACTCCCAGAGGGGCTGCTCTCCTAGAAGAAATAAAAAGTTATCCTGTGAAACTTTGTGCACATGTGTCTCTGTGCCAGGCTGCATGTGTGTCCAGATGGCTCTGTGCAGGTGTCTGGATCCAGCTTGAGTGTGTGCATGCATAGGTTTGCGGATACTTGCAACTTATAGGGCACAGGTGAGAACCCAGCTACAGCTGACTGGACTCCCAGCTGTGAAGGCTCTGAAGGGCCTGGGAAGTGGGGGACTTTACATGCAAGTGTGGGCTTCATAGAGCCTGGACACTAGTCCCAGGGTCCCGAGTGCCCACATGGGTCTGGCTCCTGAGGGCAGTACCAGTGAGTGCCTGGCCATTAAGTGGGCATGAAGTCAGGGCTTGGGAATGTCCAGCGCAGCTTAGAGGAGTGACTGGGACCTTGAGACCTCAGGCTTCCTGACCAGGCCAGAAGCCTACCAGCTAGCCAGTCTACCCTTACCACCTGGTCCTGGCTACCAGAGCAATGAATGGTGGGCAGAAGGAATTTCCAGGCTGGATTTACAGATGGGCCTGTGCCTGGAGAACTGGGTTTGGCATAAGGGGCTGCAGCCCACGTTCCCTGTGCCCTGGAGATCCACCCCTCCCACCTGAGGTCAGTGAGGGTTGGTGTTGGGTAAAGGGGTTGGGGCTTGGTGGGTGGGGTTCCGGAAGTATAGGGGAGAGGGCCCAGACTGGGGGGGCTCCAAGAGAATAGGTGGTCATGGGGAAGGGGACAGGGTTCCAGGGAAGGTAGAGGAAGGCGGGGATCTGTACACATGGCTGATACCAGGATGTGAGGAGGTGCATGGTGGCCTCAGGAGTGTTATTAGCCCTGCTGCCCAGTGCGGCCTTGGTCAGCCTGTGTGTCCCTGGAAGGTAGAGTGGGGGATGGGGTAGGGAGATGAGCTGAGGCCAGTGCAGACACCAGGCTGAGGGGGTGACCTGCTATGCCCTGTGTAGCCCAGGCCTTCGGGTTTTCAAGGGTGAGGGGTTGCCTGGGGACATAGGGCAGGGATGCTCATGAGAGGACATGGGGACTGAAGGGAGGTGTCTGTGTCCCAGGTCTGAGTGCAAAGCTCCAGGTCATCCATTTCATCTGTAGAACTTCGTGGAGTCTGAGCATGTGTGTGCATCAGTGTCCCTGCGATTCATTGTCTCTGTGTGTCATTGTGCACACGTGCCAGTGTCCCTGTGTGTGTTCATGTCCCTGCGTCTGTACTCCTGCTTGCGTTTGGTTGTGTCTGAGTGAGGGTCAGCGTCTGTGCAGTCAGCCGTGTGGGTCTTTGTGCCTGCGGGTGCCAGGAGGGGGCGCCCAGTCCAATGCACACGCAGAGCTCCTAAAAATGGAAGCTGGAGGCGGGGCCTGGGGTGGGGGCGGGGCCTGAGACCCCTCCTTCAAGCCCACTCTGTGGAGGGGCAGGCTGAGGCCTAGGAGGGTGGTGGGGGGAGTCTGCGTCACTACCTCCGGAGGCCTTTTCCTGTGGGGGGAGGGCCCGCCAATGAGGACAGGGCCTGTCACGTGGACCTGACAGCTGGGGAGGGGGTGGCTAGTGACTATGTGGTCCTGAGGTGGTCAGCTCCTGGCACTGCAGCACTGAGACCCCCAGCCTGCCCTACCCCAGCCTGCCTGCCTGGGCCGCTCTGCTGGCCCCACCATGTTCTCCAGGAAGAAGCGCGAGCTCATGAAAACCCCTTCTATCTCGAAAAAGAACCGGGCGGGAAGCCCCAGCCCGCAGCCCTCGGGGGTGAGTTAGCCTCTTTGGGGAGGAGTGGGTGGAGACCTTGGAACAACAGGGGGACAGGGTGCTCCCTCTGCTTGGGCAGCGGGACAGGGGCCCAGGAGCAACATGCTGGGCCTGCGGTGGGGGGCTCACGCCAGCTACAGCCCCCACCGGGCGGGACTGCAGGGGCCGCGCAGCCCCAGCCAGGACCCTGGCATTCAGCTCATGGTAGGAGCCCTTTGGGATGGCCACTGCCTCCCTCGTCTGGTCCAGGGCTGGCTGCGGGATCCAGGGAGTGGAGTGATGGTGCCAGGGTGGGGGGTGGCATTTGGTTGTGGACTCTGTAGGATGGGGCTCAGGGAATTTGGGGGTTCCGGTGCAGTTGGGTGTGAGAGCTATGGCACATCATTGGGCAGAAGGTTTAGAGCACAGCAGAGCATCTAACAGGATCCGCGGGTGTAGGGCCTCCAGGGCCCAGGGGTGTACACAGTTTGGGAGGATCTGTGGGACTTAAGGGTCTCTTGGACCATTAGGGTATAGGAATTGTCAAAGGTGTCTTTACGAGGGCCTAGGTGTGTCTGCCGCAGACTGAGGTGGGCTACAGGGCCCAGGACCCTCTTCTGGTCCTCCTTCCCCCACCAGGAAGTGGGGTGCCCGCGCCCCCGCAGGCCCCGCCCCTGGCTGTGGTTTGGGCAGACGTTGTTTGTGAAAGCGCTGGGGAAGAGGATGTTGGGTAACAGATGTGGGAGGGGCATAGCCCCAAATCTCAGCCCTCTGACCTCTGGCCTTTGACTCCCATAGAGTGAGACTGAAGACCCCCCAGAGTCCCATTTCACTTCTGGGGAAACTGAGGTAGTACCTGGGCCAGAGCACCTGCCTTACCCCCCAATCCCCAGGAGCTGCCCAGGAAAGATGGGGCCGATGCTCTGTACCAGGGACCCAGCGTGGAGCCACTGAGTGTGGCCTCCAATGCCAAGGCCACAGGCACGCTCAAGAGGCCCACGAGCCTGAGCCGTCATGCCAGCGCTGCCGGCTTCCCCCTGTCCGGTGCCGGTTCCTGGACGCTAGGCCGGGGCCACCGAAGCCCACTGACAGCAGCCAGCCCCGCTGAACCACCCATTGAGGGGCCCTGCCCTGATGCCGTGGAAGACATCTCCCACCTCCTGGTTGACGTGGCCCGCTTTGCTGAGGGCCTGGAGAAGCTCAAGGAGTATGTTCTACATGATGGTGAGAGCCAGCAGGGACACTGAGGCCTGGGTGGAAGGCCAAGGTGGATACAGATATCCCAAACCCTGCAGGGTCAAGGCAGGGTAGAGGGAAGGACTTGGGGAGGGTCCGAAAGTGGTCACAGGGAGAGCTTTGTGGAAGGAACTACTGCAACTAAGGCTTTCAGGGGTGTGTAGGAGCTTGGTGGCAACTAGGAGGGAAAGGCATTGAGGCATAGGAGATGTCATGTGCACTGGCTCAGAAACATGAAATGGAATTGTATTTGGAGGAACAAGATTTGGGTGTTGTTGGTATATGAAGTGTTTGAAGCTGAAGGTATTGAGGACATCAGGCAGAAGGATCTTGGATGTCATCCTGAGGTCAGTGGGGAGTCACAGAAGGTGTTAGAGCAGAGGTAGGACAAAGTCAGATTCGTGTGTTGGGCTGAGGTGGGCTAGAGGCAGGCTGAGGTATGACAGAGAGAGTCAGAAGGAACAAGGGGCAGGACAGCATGTGAGCTGCAGGAGTGAACAGCCTGTGGGATGGCAGTTCCGTTTTCTCCTCCACAAGACTGACAGCCTGGCTTCCTGCTGAGTTATTTTCATCTGTTTCCTGTTTGTCCCTGGCAGCCCTGGCAGGCACCTCAGACCAGGCAGGCACGGCACCTTGTGTGCTGCCTGCTCCTCCCGGAAACCACAGTGCCAGGACCACTCCAAGCACTCTGACCAGCTCACCCTAGGTGCCCATTTTAGAGATGGGAAAACCAAGGCCAGGAGTGGGGCCCTGACCCCTGGCTCACTCAGCCAAGGAGGGGTCAGAACCAGATCTGACCTTAGCCTGCAGCTGCCTCTGCGCCTTCAGGTCACTGATGAGGGTCTTTGTGTAGAGGCACAGACCTTTCTTGGTGGGGGTGGGAGTCCCCAAGGTTATCTGGTCAGAAGGGCAGGGCCTGAGCTCTTTCCTGGGGAAACTCTAATCTCAGTTCCTTTCCTATTCTAGCACTTCCTTGGAGGCCTGGCCTGGGTGGGGCTGAGTCCTGGAGGCGGTATGGATGGGGTTGAGGAGGCCCTTCTCTGTGCCTGGGGCATCTTGGGGCATCCTGGGCCTAGGGAAAGGACTGGAGCAGAGAGAATGTGGGTTTGAGAATGTGGGTGCTGCTCCTGCTTGTCCAGCTGTGAGACTCTGGACCAGCTGCCTCCCTCTCTGTCTCAGGTGTCTTATCTGTAAATCAGGGCAATGATACGCCCTGGGCTTAGTGACTGTTACCAGGTGATCTCAATATATTGTAGTTGTTGTCTTGAGGACTAGTGTGCTGCTGTGTGGGGCCCCAAGGTGAAAGAACAGAGCAGGGCGCAGGGTCCCCAGCCCTCTGGGAGCATGTGGCACTTGGGGACGCAGCAGCTACTGCGCTTTGCTTGGCCCTGCCAACCTGGGCCTGTCCAGGCTTCGCTGGAGTCAGCTTCCCTAGAGTCAGCTTCCTGGGTGGGGGTATGCAGGGACCCAGGTGGCTGAGACCAGGTGACCCAAGGGGCCAGGGGCCGGGTGTGTGGAAGGAGTGTCCTGGGAAGGGGCATGGACTGCCCTTTCCCCAGGATCTTCCCTGGATTCCTGAAGCCCCTTTCTGCCTCTTTGAGTTGGCCTCAGTATCAGGACTCCCCCAGGTTTCAAGGCACGGGGGTCATCCAAAGGGGTCCTCAGCCCTGAAAAGGGTCAGGCACCTATTTTCAGGTTCCACTTAGGTTTTGAGCAGGTCTACCAGCCACAAATTCTGAGGCCCACAGGTGTCAGAGCTGTCTTCCCAACTGACCCCCAGACCTCCTGAGTCTTAGCACCTGGTTGTCCCTTCCCCTTACATACACTGCTATGGTTTTGTTTCTATTGGATGGTGTGTGTTTCGTACACACTGTTCTGCCTGCACACACTACTTTTAAGAACATTTGAAGAGGACATTTAAAACTACAGTTCTAAGATGCAGAGCTA